GGGTGCTTAACTTTTTTCCAGGTGTATATATAGGTTAGATAAAACCTGTTGTGGAGTTCTGAAGGAATAAAAACAATTGAGTATTATTAGAAAAAATGGAACTGATTATGTAAAACTAAAACGATAAAAAATAAAAAAGAAATATCTGAAGTTATCTTTAATTAATTTACTCACCTAAGTTTCTTAACACATAATAAAGAAATTATAATACTAAAAAATTACCAAATTTTGTTCTTAAGCCTACCTGTTGTTTTAATTGCTATAAGATTTAAAATGTTTATACCAAATACTACATAACAGTACACATATTAGACTATTAATTCACACATACAAACAATAATGGATATGCTGAGGTTTTTGAATAATATCTTTTCTTTTATTTGCTTGAACATTTAAAAGCAATATACAATATTTTTAAGGATATCTAAAACTTTATAAGCAACATAGTATGTTGTAAACAATTTGTGAATCTTCTGCCACCATGGTTTGATGGACATAACTCATAAACTGAATTTTCAGAATTATTACCACATGCTTTGCATTTCCATACATTTTCTTTACTTAAATATGACTAAGATATTTTTTCTACTCAGCTTGCTTTGGTCATCTATTCCTTGTTAATTGTGCCTTAGTGGATAATTACATTCTGTTCTGGTTTTGTATTTCATTGCATACAGCTATTGTTTATGACATAACTTGCATAATAAGTAAGACCATAAGGTATATGTACAGTTCAAAATATCAAAACTAAGCACATTGTAATACATTAAATGTGAAGAGAAAAACATGTCCAACGTCTAATTATTAGAATAAAAAAATTATAAATAACATTAAACATGGTTGACATATTTAAATTGTTACTTAGCACAGTTTTTCTCCACATAGCAAATATAATTTATTGGGAAAGTCTTCTGTTTCATAGTTCCAACAAATACTAAAAAACACTAACTTCCTTGCAAATATATGATTAGACACTAGCAGCAGGAAATTTGTGAAGTAAATGTGACTGACTACATAACCAAGTTCTCTTGTATATTAATGAGAGACTGGACAAGTTTAAAAAAAAAATCTATATTATATGAAAAACAAAAGAAAATCAGCATGTGCATTTGCACAGACAGAATCACAGTCGATTACCTATCAAATGGTGTTTATAAAACTTCTAACTTGGATTGAAGCACAATAAATTTAAACTTGTGTATACTCAACAAAACTCACTGTAATGGTTTTTACAGGACACACTGACTGACTCAATCTGCTGCACGTGTTCAAAGGATAGTGGGGAAAGGTAGTGCAAATAAAGTAGTCCAAATATTTGTAACATCAATACAGTTAACAAATTCCTCTATACTCTTTCTTTTTTAAGAAATGTTCATTATAAGTTCTTACTGAAGTTCAGATCAATAACTGACAATTTCAAATTTCAACACAACAGATGAATGTCTAACATTCAAAAGGAGCAAATAACATCAACACTAAAAGAATATGGTTCTATAGTTCATAAAGTTTCTAAAATTCCATTATACCATCTTCAAATGTTTTCATTAACATACGAGATGAAACTCCCTTTTTCATCAAACAATCAGCCAGTTGTTTTCAAGTGTCAGACTCAATAACTTCTTTAATCTGAGGACTTTCAATAAGTTCTTTAATTCCAATGATCTCAATTCTGAAACATTTTCACTGAAAAACTTGTTTGATTTTATGGCATCTACAATTGACTTACAGTTCGTAATGCAGACAAATGGTAATACCTCTGGGTTGGGTTTACCAAAACTCAACTCAGCAAATAGAGTGCAATAAATATTGATCCATTTATAGCATCAGCCATTGCTAAGGTCTCACCAGCCAAAGTGCTATGCACAACATGTCGAATTTGTCTAGAGTTCCAACATATGGATGAAAACTTCTCTGATTTACCAACTAACAGAATCAGATATCCTCCTTGAATTGCACCATCTGGCAGGTTTCCAAAAGACACATCACTAAAAATGGCAAGTAGCAATTCTCCTTCTCCCAAATGTTGAAATCTAAGCGGAACAGTCTCAAATTTGATTTTTCTTATTACTTTATTCGCCTCTATTATATCTCCTACTGTGGCAATTTTGATATGTGATGCTAGGTTATATGCATTAAACAAAATATTTGGTCAACTCTGGCTAGCCACCCATAAAATTTGTCCCACTTTTGATCAAAGTTGGTCTCTCTCATTGTCTAGCTCGAGTTTTATCTATTTGTAAAGGGATTAAATTGTCTACATATTAATTTTGATACATATATATTTCTTCACCATTACTAGCTAACCCGATACTGATATATTGAAATGCACAGCTATCTTCCTTTCCAATAGAAAATATGGATCTTACACTATCAACCATTGTTCTTTCAAATTCAGATCTTCCACCCCATATAAAGTCATCAACATGACTAACTGAAACACCTATTAGTGTTCCTTGCTTGTCCACCCAATAGAACACTGCAGAATCAACTTTAAAAATTGTTGCTCCTAGATCTATCATAACTGTTTTCACCCTTTTATACCACTATAATGAAGCATTGCCTAAACCATACACACATGTCTGAAGGTGCCACAATTTTCCTGGTGCATTGGCTTCTTTTGGTGGATGTATGCAGATCTCTCTTTCTATGCTTTGTCTTTGTCGAGAAGCAGTTTTGATATCCATTGAATACGTTTTCCAATTATTCTGAGCAAACAATGCGAGTATGAGACGCACTGATTCATATGAACATGTTGGAGAATCTTTGGGTCTTTATCTACTTCCTGAAAACCTTCAACAACTTCTGAGACTTGAAGGTCATTAATTTAGCCTAAATCAACCAACTATTTCACTCCTTCTAATTGCTTAGGTCCAGTGTATTCTAAATTGTACCATTATTAATTTTTCTGTGGCTTTGCCTGCATGACTAAGGATCCTGGCAGTCAGTTGCTGACAATTTTGTTGGTGTTCATACTGCACAATATTCCAGGACTAATCTTTAGTTCCTCTGTATTTCTGAAGGGTGCTGTATGTACAGTTATTTAATTTTGACCCTATGTCAGTTTCATCACCTGTTGACTCCTCTTCAATACTATCTTCAATATTATCTGATT